TAAGAGTTGACCCATGGTTCTTTCCTTGTGACCTTCCTCAGTTGTTGCCCATGAGTCCCACTAGCTCTTAAAGCCTCTGGTTCCATATCCTTCCTGTCACCAAGGTCTTCACACCTTAAAGGCAAAATCTTCCATTCCTGTCACTGTTTGTGAACTGCAGCAGATCTCTTAGGATTTATAAGCTCTTCTCCTAGCCAGGGGTCAGCCCATCTTCTGTTTTGTAAATAAAATTTTGTTGGAACACAGCCCCACACATTCATTTACCTATTGCGTATGGGTATTGACACTATGATGGTGGTTGAATAATTGTACTAGGACCATAGAGACTAAAATATTTACTATCTGCCCCTTTATAACTGAAAAAAAAGTTTGTTAACCCCTGCTCATGACCATATATTTTGAGAGAGAAAGAGAGAGATTGTATCTGTACCTGTAAATCTACAAATTTGGATATATTAACAAGTGTTCTAGTAAAATGCAGTTGCTACAGGGAACACCTACCTGGCCACCTGAGATGATGTGGCTGTGATTACTCACTAATCTTTTTGTCCTAAGGTAAACTCTTCTACAGGGGAAAGTGCCTCAATGAGTAGGGTTTTTATACCAGTCCCTGGACTCTCCCACTTCTCCCCTCAGTCTCTGTGTGTGGGCCTCCTGTGAGCCCTCTCCTGTTTGCTGTCAAGGCTCCCTAACTTCCTCTGCACTGTTTCACTTTCCAAGTGTTGTCGTATGAGGCTTGCCTCCCTCGCCATGTAGAGTTCCTGCTGCCGGATCTAATGTGCCATGGTCTCTCAGTGCACCCGCGGGCTGCATTTGCCCCTTCTGAGTCTGACTCTCTCGTGGTGCCTGTGCTGAAAAACAGGTATTAGGCCTCACAGTCCTGTAATGAACCTCCTCAGCTGCTCAGCCACAGGCCAGGGTCACTCTTAGGGTGTCTCTCAATGATCCTGTCTGTAGTTGCATTGGCTGTGCTGACCAGGTGCCCATTTACACCTCATGGCCATTACTAGTCTTATCATGAATTTATGGTCTAGGCTCTCACTGGCTGACTTGACTGTCGCTTTTTCAATCTGCTATTGTCCAGAAGGGTGCTCATTGTTATGACCCCTTGTCAGGACATGGAGGAAGTGGTTTCTAGGATTGCATGTCTTTTATCCCTGAAAACAACAGATATGCTTTCTCTGTGTTCCATTCTATTTCTACTTTTATAGCATTACTTATTTTTCTGTCTACCTGACAGAATTTTAATTCTTACATGCATCAAAGGCCATATGCTTTCTAACCCCAGAACACATTTTAAATCCCTTAATTTATATTCCTTCCTCCATGTATGAAACCTACATTCTCTCTCTCTCTCTCCCCCTCCCCCTCCCCCTCTCTCCCTTACACTCTCCCCCCCCCCAACCCACCTTTCCTTCCCTCCTTCCCACCCCTCTCTAGTTTCTAAACTGAAGATTAGAGTATCTGGTCTCAAATCTAACATCATTGTATTTCTGACATAATATTAGACAAATCAACTCATTGTTTTCAATAGCTGTAAGATTAAACCTAAGCTCTCTACCCTGTCAAATATATGTGTTTTCTTTTTCGTGAGGCCTCAATGAGGAAACAGATTCATTCGTTTGGTATTTATTCAGCCTTTAGTGTTTATCAGGTCATGTTTCTCAGATTTGGGGATATAGTTGTGAAGAAGACAGATAGGGTCTGTTCCTACCCTCATTGCACTGGCATTAGGACTGGGAAGACAGATATTAGATGAGGAAACAAAGTGAGTCTTGGGTGCTGTAGGGGCTTTGAAGAAAATGATGGAGAATGACAGGAAAGGCGATTCTTCGGCTATATGGAAAAGCCTCTCTGAGGAGGCCATATGGAGAAGGTGATACTCGAGGTCCTAATAGCTGAGAGCAAGCCCATCATGTACTGAACCACAAAAGTAGTCTTTATCAGCATAAGCTGCAAGGTGTCACCTCTGTGAGTGGTACCCCCTCTGATCCCTTGGGCGGTGGGGAAGTTAGAAAGCAACAACAGGTTCTTCCTTTCTGGAGCTGTAACTTTACAGTGATCTCTGTACTTTCTTATAAACCTCCAGTTTCGCATCCAGATTGTTTATCTTTCCTCCTCTTCTGTTTCTGGCTTGTGCTGGCCTAATCGCGGAGCCTGTCCTCTGGTCCCCATCCGTGACGTCGTCTGGCTCAGGCCTACTCACAGTCCTCCCTGCCACCAGTCGTGGTTTCACCTCCCACTCATTCCAAAACCCCTGCAACCGATTTCCCTTTCTAATAACCCTGTACTTCTAAAACTTCTTGAAGGTTTCCAGGTTGCCTCATTTTTGGTAAAACTACCTATCTTCATGATATAAACAACTTCTGATATCCACCTCTGGAAAGAGGGAATATTTTCAGGTTGAGCTGACTGGAACTGGCTGGCATAGTGCCTAGCACATAGTGAGTTCTCAATAAATATTTATTGAATAATGAGTGAAAGTGAACAAGCTGATTCTCCTAATCTTACTCAAGCTACCTAAAGGATTACTGTGGCTTTTTTTTCTCAATTACATGTATATTCTTTACTCACATGTAAATGCATATAAAAACCTTCATTTTTAGCTATATAGAGTATCAAAATCTTACCACTTATGTATAAGATATTTTAATTTTTAATCTTCTCTCTCCATTTGCTGTTCAGGTGAAATTTTATCATTGATCCTAGAGATACCTAGAGGCACTGGCAGTGTCTCTAGGATTTGTAATGGTGTTCAGAACAGTGTGTAGCCACAAGTACACAGAATTTAGCGTGCAAATGCATTTTTGCTAACGATAATAGCAATTGCTGAGATTTCAATTGTTTGGGTCTTTATTTTTGGCATCCTGAATATATCCATTCAGGATGCCAAAAATAAAGACCCAAGATCTGATATATCAGATATATCCATTTAGGTTAAGCAGAAACTTTCTAAGGAAAATCTTTGTGTTGAGGAATTTGTCATATTTACAGTTAAGCAGCAACTAAAAGCAGTGTTTCTTCTAAAGAAAGTTTCCAAATATGTCCAGAGTATGGTTTTTGACTTTGTGTGGTATTATTATTCATCAATGACAATAAAAATTTACTCTCAGGTAATTAGTGGAATATTTATTTTTATAAATATGGTGGTATGTTTAGAATTATCACTGGCAACTTGTTTCCAGAGCTGGATCTTAATTGTTAAGTATTTATTTAAAAGAAACAAAAATCTTCTTGAGTTGTATCAATTAGAAATAACTTGTAAATGATCCCTTAGCTTTAGAAATGCTCTGTTTGTAGTTCTGTAATATTTAAATAATACCAAAAATAAGGAGTCTCATTGATTTTTTTTGTTATTTGTATTATATTCTTTAAATTCAAGAAATGTTATGTAATTTGAACTCTGAATTTTTTATTTTGACCCATATGATCAGTACCAACTTTAAAATGACAGTTCAGGGTTCATGATTTTATCATGTTTCCCTAAGGGGGATGCACCTATAAAGTAATGGGACTGTCTTCCAAACATACTAGAAGTCATCTGTCAGGGAAGCCCTTGTCCCCTTCAAAGCAGTCACCTAGGAAGGCCACGCATTTGTTCCAGTGATGCCACTATGGCTTAAAATGTTGTGGAATGCCTCTTTTTAAACTGCCTCTGAACTGCTAAGAGATAATAAAGGGTATAATGACATTATTTTAGTACCCTAAATTGGGACAGATGAATTTGATCTTGGTGAGTAGTCAGAAATCATGAGGACCAACTACAGCGAATAAAATTTGGAGTGCCATTTGGAGTCACGATTGATGTAGGATAATAAGATGGGCTTTCTTGAATAACATGGTAACTGACTCTCGAAATTGTTGAAGAGGAATTCCAGAACCTTGGACCTTGGAATAAATGTATAAGCTCCCAAGGTAGCTACTATGAAGAACAATACATGTTTAGATTTAAAAAAAATGTGTATGTTTGCAAAATAAGATCAGTTTTATTACTTTATAGACATACCTTGTAGATGAAAAAAATACTCCTATCATGGAACTCTTTATAAGCAAACTTCTGAATGTAAGTAGAATTTCTGTCTCACCTCTTTAAGTCTCTTGAGAAATCTGAATTTGTAATAATAACTTAATCTGATCTTGAGCTTTAAAAAAATGCAATGTTTGCCATTTAAAAAGTAGATGAGTTTAGGTTTTACTTCACCATTTTCTGATTCATTTTGTTATCTCTGTTCTTCAGTTTTTTATTTAGTGTACTCATCTTTGTTCACCTTGAGACTCAAAATGTACTTTCTCATTTTAAAATTATCATCAACTTCTTGAACCAAGGTAGAAGATAAAGTCTAGGCTGAAGGTTATTAATTGTTTCATATTATTTTAAGCTTTTTTTTGCATTAGTAATGAACAGATGCCTTTCTTTTTTTAAAGTGGAACTTCATTGTCCTATTAAATAAGAACATCAAATTACACATAGAAAAGTCTTTTTATAAAAGTAAATACTCTCAACTTTGGAGCTTCTATTATGTTTTTCATTGCAACTGATAAAAGCTTAAAAAACAGAATTCAGCCAAACAGCTGGACCACGTGTTTCTAGTGTAGACTGCAGGTGGACTCGTGGGCTGGGCACGGGAGTTGAGCTGATGCATCCTGCTTTGTTGGTGCTTTCACATTTATCCACCACATCTTTGTTCATCCCTGCTGCCAGGCCCTTATTTCTGCACTGCTAAGTTGAAATAATAAAAGTAAAATGAATGTGGAAGGCAGAGAAAATTGTTATCCTTTGGCAAAGTGGCTAAGACAGCTAAATTGTGACACAATTTAAAGTGTTCAAATTTGGCAAGTTTGATTGAAAAATTACATGACCTGTGTAGTTAGAGAGCAAAATGGTCACTAGTTTATAGTTTTAAAAAGTCATAGTGTGGTGTCTTTTTTTACCACAGACTGAGAATATTCTTTTATTCTGCCTGGCAGTAACTTTGGCACAAATGACTCTTGTTTTGCAGTTTGGTGACTTAAATGCTGTGTCTCCTGGAAATCTGGATAAAGGTAAGAATTGAAAATAATGTGCATTGTCAAGGACTTTCTTTGACCAGGAAATTCTTATAGAAGAAAATGTGGTGTATGTCTGTGGCCCTCATATTCTGTGGAAATGGCATACAGTCCTAGATGAAGATGCCTATGTCTTTGGAATCCTTCACTATTTCTCCATTTCTATGTTTTCTTTATATGAGGTGCCTTAAATGCAAGAATTAAATGAAAATGCTGTTGCAAGCTCATTTTGACTTTTTGCCTGAAATTCATTATAAGTGACACATTATTTCTATCTCCAGAGCCCTAGAGAAAAGTGATAAAATTGGTCAAAATATTTTTATTCAAGGCCTACCTGGCAAGAAAAAAGATTCCTCAGCCTCCCTGTCACCACTTCACACTTTTCAGTGGAAAAATCACTCAAAAAGAGCAATGATGTTTACTGTAAAAGCAAGATCAGTAGCGGTATAGATGAAAAGGATAACATATGTTCATAAATTTTTAATACTTTGTTTATGCAATTGCATTCATCCCTATTTTTTCTTAAATTTTACTACCAGCATCGCCACTCCAGGGTGACTGACAATAGGATATATGTTCCTGAAGAACCTTTTGCTCTACAAAACCACAGAATAAAAGGAATAGGGTTTAGGGGAAAATAAGGTTAGAGTAGAGCAAATACAAGCAAAACAAAAATTGCTATAAAAAATACCAGCCTAGTTTTTATAAAAATGTAAAATTTCTGGTAAACAAACACTGTAGAAAATGTAGGCCTTCAAAAACAAACAAAAAAGGTTTTAAGCAATTGAGTTCTATAGTCAGGGACCATATGCACAAAGACTAGTGAGAACCACACTGTCAGCCCCTCCTGGATGCAGGGGATACAGCCAGAGCCAGTGGGCACCTGAGGCGAGAGGAAGGACTTGGGGAATCTGCACTTGTGCAGTGCTGTTTTCTGGAGCGTCCTGTTCTAGGGACTGGGCCCAGCTTCTGTGCCTCCTTGGTGGTAGCGAACATTAATGAGCCAGGGAACATCACCTATGAACCCACAGCACTCCCGTGTTGAGCTCCTATCGGTCTCCACCAATTGTGGATGCATTCATTCCTGTTAGAGTGACCTACATAGTAGCAAAGCAGGAAAAGCGGAAAATGATAGCCCAGATACACTGTTGCTGCAAGTACATACTCTATATGAGTAACCAGATAAGCCTCAGAAAAGTACATCAGTTATGAGATGATGGTTATTTGTAATTTCAGAGCAAGAATGGTGGCAGTTGGAACCCATGTCCAATGTCAGGCAACCCTGATGGCGCATTGACTCCAGAGCCTCGTGACCCAAACTTGGGGGTTTCCCTGGGTGCCCAGAGGTGCAGTAGGAGTGTTGCTATGTGGCCAAAAACTGAATGGCAGCCAGTCTTCTTTGTAAAGTGCTGAACCAAAACAAAGCTTTCAGTACACTCCAGCAGCACCAAATTTTAATTTTTGTACACCAAGTGTTCATAATCACATCAGGTTTCCCAGAAATGTTTTCAAGTCTTTATAGGTGCATAAAATGTCTATGGAATTGTTGGCCCTCAGGAACTGGACAAAGGGCTCTCTTTTGTGGACTGCTCTGCAGCCTGCCCAGTGGCGCCGTGTCACCCCCATGTGGACCACGCAGACATGGCCTGGAGTACTGGCGTTTGTGCAGCGCATCCCCCATTGCCACCCGTCCGCCTGCAGCAGGCAGAGGAAGGGGCTTTCCTCACATTCTCTTCACTGGCCTGCCATCTTGAAATTATTTTTTTTCCTTTCAGTGCTTTTTGTTTTGTTTTGTTTTGCTTACTATTATTATTTTGACACTGTTTCTCGGGCACAGGAAAGTAGGTAGACAAAGAGCTGAGAAGCAACGGGATTTACCTCACATTCTCTGTGTGGCCCTGCTGATCCCATCCACACCTGGACCTGATGCTTCTAGAGCTACACAGCCAAAGGGTGTGATCAGAGCCTACGGCTGGAATGGGAAAACTTCAAGACTTTTTGTGGACTCTTTCTACAAAATGGGAATATTAATGTTTTTCCCAATAATAAAAGTAATAATAGCTCTGTATAAAAATTTCAAGTAATCCAGAGAATTGGGAACTGTAGAAAGTAAAGCTTCATAGTCACAACTTTTAAGAGACTGCCAGCATTAAGAATTTTGTGTGAGGATTCTTCCTTTTTTTGTTTATGTGTATACACAAATGCATTAACAAAAGAAAGTATCACACGCATGTTTCAATTACACCTTCTTGATGAAGCAAGTGTCTGCCAATGCATCCTCCCTGCAGCCCACCAGCCCTTCCAGTGTGCTCGTTCTAACAAATCTAATATTATCAAGTCCATTTTCCATATAAAATATGTGGACAAGACGCCTTTTGCCTCATCTGAGAGTTCTTCTGTATTTATCACTTAATGATGATCTATAGACATCATTTCCAGTCATTATATCTAAACTCTACCTTTTAATTACATATACCATTTCTCAGGAGATTTTGCTCCTGGCAACTGTGTATGGCACAACTGTATGTTATGTGGAAGTCCCTGTTACTCCTAACCAGTGTTTTCTGGAACCATCTTTGCCCCAGTTGATAATAAGAACAGTCAAGGGGCTCCTTACTAGTAAGAGCTGCACTAGCAGGGACTTCTGCGGTAGGTGTAGCCCAGGCGGTAAAACTAGACTCCACCTTAGAAAGAGTCCAACTTTGTCTGACTGAAGAGCTACTCGGACATGATGTACCATAGGAGAGAATGTCATGGAGATTCGACGGTGCTTCTACAAGTCACTGCAAGTCAGAACATAACGATAAGTATAGACATTAGAGCATTTTAATTGTAGATGAGGTATTTGATGTGATTATACATTTGTCTTTTTTTTTTTTGGTAAACACTAAAACATGTTGAAAGTGAAGTAGAAAGATTTTTAAGGCAAAAATATATTCCTCGCTGTTTAAAAATGATCGCTCATGAAGAGGTATTCTCTACACTCTTCTGAAGAGAATCTTACACAATAGTAAAGCTATGAGAGCATTTCTCTCTCTACTTTTGAATAGTAACTATGCGGCTGGAAAAATTAAATGGTATTCCTTTATAATTATGTTTTAGTTAATATAAAATGTATTAAAATTTAGAGGTAACAGTTACTATATTTAATACATTTAATTTCCAGAAATGAATACCAGCTATTAACAGTGAGTATCAGTGTTGCCAGGAATGGAAATTCATTGTGCATTTTTAATTTGATACTACTGCTTCTGTCTTTATCATTTTTATAATAAAAATTAAAGGCCTACTTAACATTGTGATCTAACACATTCGTGTGCACCAAAAAGTCTTTATAGTAACCCACGCTTATACATGATATCATATCATTATAGGTCTCACCTGTTAAAGTGTATCTAAAGCATGTGTTGATTGCCATTTTCCAATTTGCCTTTTGGTATTAGTCTTGGCGTTATTTGTTTGTGCAGATGAAGGCAGTGAAGTGGAAAGTGAAATGGATGAAGAACTGGATGACTCTTCAGAACCTCAAGCCAAAAGAGAGAAAACCGAGCTGAACCAAGCATTTCCAGTGGGCTGTCTGCAGCCTGTTCTTGAGAGCAGCGTGCAACCGAGCCTCCTGAATCCGATGCACAGCGAGCACATCGTCACAAGTACTCAGACTATCCGACAGTGCAGCGCTACAGGAAACACCTACACTGCAGTCTAAGGAATATTAAAGTGTGTTTTTCCAGCTAACTTTAACCCTGTTGATATTGGGCTTAAGTTGAAAATTTAATAAGCCTGAAGGTCAACTGTTGTGGAATTCTATCTGTGCTGAACATTACCTTTCTGGAGTTGTGAAATGGAATGGGTGTATGTATTTTGCCAGGTCTTTTTTTCTTTTTTTTAATGTAAACAAATGATTTGCCTCTTAATAGTAAGAGTGTTTTTTTTTTCTTAGTTTCAGGTGTCAAGAAGGATTTTTACAACACTTAATATTTTTGTTTTCTTATAATTAAAAATAATTTACATTTTTGTAGTTTAAAATATTTTATTGTTGATTGTTAGTCTTGGTGTATTTCATGTGTAAGTTTTTAATTAGATGCACTTCTGTGAAATATCAAAAGAAATGAATTTCTTTGATTTACACTGGAGGCATGCCCATTTGGCAGCAGATGCATCAAATTTGCTTTTGAAAGGTGCTTTTCATTGGACAGAACTACAAGACACTATTTTGATAACATTTTGGAGTATGGAGAAAGAATACAGAGCATTTTTATTATAGTGCTAGAGGGTTGGGAAGGTCATCTATTTTTTCTCTGAAGAAAAATTGAGCTGTGCATTTATCAGTTCGGAGTAAATGACAGAAATGCAAGACATTATGCTAATATGTACATAATTTGTGTACATAATTATTAAATCATGTTAATGCAAGCTTCCGTTAAACACTGAATTTTAACTGCGATTTGCATACCAATTCCTCTGTTTAATGACTACTGATTCTGTATTTGGGACCACTGCACAGATGCACTCTGCTGTTGAGTGGGGCTGTTATAGTTAGATACTGAAGCTGAAAAAAATGACTTGACTTTTTTTTTTAAGTGTACATGCTACTTATGCTGAGCTGGACGTACAGGAAACCATTCCATTTGGATGACTTTCTTTTATTCCAGGTCTTTTTCCTAATAGTAGTTCAATATGCTGCTATTATAAAAGAAAATTTATAGAATGCAAGGAATGTAGCAACCTGCATATTGTTATTTCCTTCAAAAATATTTCCTGGTTTCTAAAGTATGTGGATTTAAATTTTAAACAGAACCTGAAGGCAGTGTAACTGGCACACCGTACTGTTGCTTATCCCCAATTCTGTAGGACTTGGGTAGGTGGCCGGATGGACCAGTGCCATCGAAGAATGTACATCAGGGATCATCGTACCTCGGCTATAACATGGTGCCTTAAAACAGAACTGAAGCTAAGGTTTAGTAAGGCTTATTTTGGTCATGTCACTTCCTCTTCAATCAATCCACTTGACAAGTTGTGCCTGTCATTTTCAGATTTTCAAAGTAAGGACAGGTTACATGTTCTTCAAAGGAAATGGAGGGCAATTAAAGCAAAACAGACAAAAAAATCAATTTCCCTCTTTGAGTGACCGTGAACCTATGTTTTGTTCTTAGAGCCGAATATTACTTGATTATATAATCAGATTGCTTAAGAATGTGGAATAGCAGGCTAGTTTTAATTACCAACTTGTTACATAAAATTATATATATGTTAGATCATTTTCTAGTTATGATTTAAGACAGTTAAAATAAGTAGGTACTTATCGAAGTGCATCTTTTCAGTCTAAATGTCTGTCTGTGTGTCGTGGTGTCTGTTCCCATGCGCACACGGGTGCCCGTGGGCAGGAGTCGGCCGCAGAGTCAGAAGGTGCAATCCTGGAGTGGATACACCGCTCCCTGTTTTAATTTACGTGAGGAGCCAAGGTTCTTTTAAGCACTCAAATTATTAACAACAACAACAACAAAAAAAGCAGGCACATCCATTCATTTAAATAGTTCTAAAAAACTAATCAAGAAGAATAAATACATAAAGCCAAAAAAAGGGAAAGCACAAAATGATTTACAGATTATTTAATGGGGCCTATATTAAACTCAAGACGTTTATCTTTCCTGTTTTATTGGGGTGGAGGGTGGGGTGGAAAGAAGAGGGTGAGCCAATCTGTAAAGTTAAAAATACCAAATGGCTTATCGGGTGATGTGCAGGGTGTTTCAGCTGCTGTTGCTCGATCGCCTTAGACCTACTCAGATAACCAAGATCAACACGCTTCTTAGGTAAACTTTAAATGTTTTAGATGTAATTTTTTTAATTGATTCAAATTTTGTATTATACAACTCATATATTTGAAAGCCTTTACTAGCTCATCACCTTTATCTAAATATTTTTTAAATGATCATCCCCTTTTTTCTCCCAAAAAGGTATTGATTTGTACCATCACATGCACAAAAAAGGCAAGCAAGACACCTTAAGCTGCAAAGACTGTGTACCTACTTTATTGTGCATTAGGAAACGTTTACAGGTAAATTTAAATCAAAAAATGAAAGAAACACTCTTCATCTGACTCTCCTTTCTGAATTTTTTCACCTTACCCTGTCCACCACCCCAAGAACTATCTGTATTGGACCAAATGTATTTACAATATCATCTTGTTTATTGAACAGTTTTAAATGTATTTATGATCATTGTTTCCTTTAATTTAATGTTGGATATATTTGTTTTGTTAGAGGAATCTAATAATAATGGGAATATTAGATTAATTAAAGTTAGGGATTGGGGATCCTCCAGGATTCAACATTTCTTTCAATTGTTCATGGTTTGGTCTAAATTTGGACAGATTGGGAATTAATAAATATTATTATATTTCAACTTGACTCACTAAAAATATTCTGAAACATTAATCTTTGTTATTAGTGTAGACAGTTCTAACAGTAGACAAATAATTTCTGTGATCTGTGCTACTTTTATTTCGTGTTCACAATGACACACACACATATACAATCACAAAGATCTTAACAATTTTGAACTTGAATTGTGAAATACATTAGAAAATACAAACATAATTTATACATTAGAGCAGATTGGAGCAACTGCAATTAACTGCATTATCAGACATTTTAGTTCCATTTTTTCACTCATTGAAACTGTGACTTTTCTGAGTAACATTAGACACTAATACTCTCAGCAGGTTTATTGACAAGTGACAAGGACACATGTTAAGAACTTCTTAATGTTTCTTGGCATTGTCATCGAACACTAGTCACGAAACATATCTAAATAGACCAAGTGATGCACTTTCAGTGAGGAAAAATGTAAGGAAAGTGTGTTGGCTGTTTTTAAGTTACAGAAAAGGTTTTTTCATGTAATAGGATTGAGTATCATGAGTAGTTTGATCTTCACATATGCTTTGAGAATCATACCCAAAAGATTTGCATTCATAAAGCTAGTGAACAAGAGGGTGAAATGGGAGAACCATTGCCTTGGAACACAGGATCCAATTTAAACAATTTTTTTTGGATATTGAGTAGCTGGTCACTTTTTCAGGATTTTCTTCCAAACTATGTTTGGACTGACTGTGTAAGTCTTACTGCCTTTTCAGAAATCTGCTTTCCTTTTTGTGCTTTTTCTTGTACTGTATAGCACGGTTCATGCACCTCTCTTTAGATGGTGTACTTTAAAAACAAAAGTAAAATTTAGAAAACGGTTTTAACACTGCATAACTAAAATTAATAGTGTGCAACATTGACTGCCTTGGATTTGTAGTAGACAAGTGAACATGAACACGTTCTTGTAGAATGCTGTCGAAGTCATTCAGGAATGAATACAGTTTCATTACTGTAATCATGAACCTTTTTACATGGCTGCACTCTCTAGAAGTGCTAAATGTGATGCATTTTCAAATTTTAAAAATTCTTCAGATGATATATTTGAGATGTCTAAAATAATGCTGTGCTTGAAACATTAGTGTAAAAGAAAAAAAAATGTGTGTCACTGTGATGTTGGTCCTCCCTGTGTGGACACAAGTAGAAAGTAAAAACACTTTGGCAAGTCACCTTTGTGTATTTGAGGCAGTGGTTATATACAGCAAATTGACCTTCACTGTAGCCTCCCCTCCCCCTTGTTCTTGGTGAGGCAACGGCAGCCTGCAGCTGGCAGAAAATCAAACCAGCCCTCTGGATTGGTGTGAATCACACAGGAACCCCGGGGGAGAGGTGGTCATGCAGTGCTATTGAAAACTGGGCTTGTCACTAGATCAGATCCAACCTCCATGTATATGGTTAGAAAAATCAATTAATGGAATCCTAGTATTTCTGCAAGTTTGATGATTTTTTAAAAAAACTGGAATAGAAGCATTAATTCAGTGCTTAGTTCTAGTGTTAGAAAACCCCTTTGATGTAATGCCTTGTATTAACCCTTTGAGCATTGTAAGATAGACAGCGGGGGACAAAAGCCTTTCGGATCCTTTATTTAGACTTAGACTGGTAAAATATACTCTATATCCAAATGTCTAATTATGCTGTTTTTTTAAAGGGGGGATAGGAAGAGAAAGTGTTTTCATGCTGAACACTTGCATTTTATATACAACTCTTAATTTTCTTCAAGAGGGCTTGATATATTTATTCCCAAATATTCACTGCCATCTAAGTAAGTGTACTGTTTACAGAAACAAAATCGACTTTTCTAGCATCACAGCACGACTCTAGAAAAGGAGGACAGTACATGGGCCTGTGGACCCATGTCACAGCCGGTCTCTGCACATCGAAAGTACCTAGATTGCCTTTACAAGGTATGAGAAAGGAAGGGTTACTTTTTTTCCAAAACAAAACGAAACAAAAGATCTCATTTATTTAGCTTTAGAAAGTACAGTTGTTAAGTAAGCCTTAGGAAGAAATGAGTTCAAGTGGCTAAAGAAAAGCTGAACTCTTTGGGGGCAGGTAATCTACCTGGAATTAGATCTCTCATAGCATATTGTTTGGGAATTTCATACAGGGCATAATTTTATTTATGCTCCAAAAGTTAATACTTTGTCAAAAAATTATATATAGATAGAATGGAGAGCAAAGCACTTGATCTTAAGCTCACCTGTCAGGAGATGCTCTAACTACTGCTTCTGGTGTCTGTAAATGCCAGTCTGCTCACACAGTTGCCGACTCTGTGCAAGGGGCGCTCTGCGTGTACTGGACTCCTGTGTCCCTGCGAGACAGAGCACGGGAGCAGCGCCGTCTGCAGGCGTGCTCGCGCTGCCCTGGCCGGGTGCACCCGAAAGTACGACCTACTCCGATGTCTGGCGAAAGGACATCCGTAGCCTAGTGCAAGTCTGCCATAAACATGGCTTTTAGGCAGCTGAGGAGGTCAAACCATGCAAATCACTCGTGTGTTAACATGCAATACTCAAAGGGTTTTGATTTAACTCTTCTTTTGAATTCTTCATGATGATTTACTGTAAATGCTTCTCAGTTTGCATGCTCTGATCATTGCTGCTAGTGATTTTACGTGCCAGTAGACCTGAGTTTAGTTTACCAATTTTACTTAAATAGTAAAAGCCACTTACAAAGTGACTGCCTAGGATTTTTTCCTTTTGTTTGAAGTAATTGGTAATATGTTATTTTAAAAAATGTGTTTCATCTCTTCTTTTATTGGTTCTGGTATTTGATTCTTTCTTTCCCTCTTTCCTTTGTTCTTTAAATAAATTACGATGTTGGGATTGGAAGCCCTGAGTAATGAAATCTTTGGTAAGAATTGTGTATGTAGCTCAATAATGATGACAACAAATCATTGTTAGAGGAATTTTGATTCTGGGGAGGAAAAAGAAAATAAAAAGTCGCATTGACTGTTGCTGACCAAGTAAATTGTTCCTTCCACGAATTAATGGTTTTGAACAAATGATTGCCTTGTTTAAACCTGCTAACCACAATTTTAAATAACCCAATAAAGGAGGTATTGAATTTTATTCGTTTAAAAAGTATCTTTTGTACCAAAGCAAATTTTTTTCTCTACTCATCTCCATCATCAATTGGGACCTATGGTGGTGGCCAATGTGTTGGTTACAGAAACTTTAAGTGAGTGCCTTGAGAAAACTTGGAAATTTGTGCCTGGAGTGGTAAACTTTTAATTAGGTTAATTGTAGTGCTTACCAATCAGTAATTCTACTATCACTCAGGGCTTTCGTACCTTCTAGATAAAACTTCTTTTGTTGTGTTTTTTTTAAATACTGTATTTTTTTTAAGTGCCATCATTTAAATTTCACTTAGTAAGTGGCAGATGTCATTATTCAGTCCCACAAGCACAGAAACATAGTAACACTAGGAGATGTTTGAACATTTATTTCACAGTCGACTGAATATATTATGTAAATGAGGTAAGCAACTTTTGTAGAGAGTGTGTGTGTGAGATAATGTAATGTTCTTTTCCAGTTTTTGGACTACAGTTGAAGAAACTTTTTAATTATTTAAAAACATCTTTACCGAATAACATGTGATGGTTTTTTTGTATAATGTATTTGATTTTGTAAATACGTATTTCCTGATGTGATTTTTGTGAGAAATGCTAAATCTTTTAGTATATCATGTCCTCTCAAAATTGGCAGGAGCTGAATAATAGTTTGTGGGCGATTTGTATTGTGTACTGTACAATAACTGGGGAACTTTTATAATTATAAAAATATATATTAACTTTTAGTGTGTTGTTTAAACAAATGACTGGAACATACTAAAGATATTAGTAGGATTTTTCTGAATATTTCAGACTTGAACTCAGGCTAGCTTTCTTGTGTTTTTCAAAACAAAATGGTGTCTTGTCTTTTAAAATCAATAAATTTGTTTCCTTGTTACAAATATACTTGAAATGGCTTGATTTTTTCCCCCCTCAAATCATTGCCAGGAAGCAAATAGTGCACTGCCTCACGTAGGGGTGCAGTCTCTGTGTCATTCACTGGCTTAGAAACAAAATTAAGTTGTTTTCCTTTTTGTGTGTCAAATGAAATTGGCAATATTTACACATGAACAGCACAGAAAGAGAAAACAAAATTATAAGCTCAGCAGGGTACAAATCTTACCCTCAAAGAAAATTAGTGATTTTGAGTGCTGTTTAATTTCAGAAGCTGTCATTTCTATTGTAAACCCAGATTTTTGGATGTTCATAATGTGTTTGTTTAATGTCACTTCACATTGATATTTGGCACCCAAGCTGCTTGCGTTTTAATGCACTTAAGAAGATTCTCTGCCCCAATTTTTTCTGTCTTTCAATTATATAGTTCCATAGAGGAAAGTTCTCCGTGTTTAGTGTCCATTTCTGAGTTTTGACAAACTACACAGTATGTAAGCCCTCCTCCTAGAACATGGAATAGCCAGTTCATTTGGGTTTATTTAAAGATAGAAATTCAAGACAGAAAATATCCTAAAAAGGAACATGGACAGAATTTTAGCCAATGTTAAAGACAATACTCTGCTAGAAAGAAAATCAGTGACCAGTCTGGGCATGTTTATGTTGTGGCCTTTGCCATTTGTGAGATATTTGGAAATTTTTATATTCAAAAAAAGAGTTCCTGGTTTCTAACCTGATCTTTATATTTGTTTTCTCCTGGAAGTATGAGGTATTTTAAATAGTTTATGATTAGTGTGTTTAGTTATTGGTTACAATATTCTAACTACCATGGATTCTTAATATTAGTTTCTTCTCCCTTGGAACTCATACATTTTTAAGACTTGAACTCAGCCTGGGAAATGTAGCTGCTTTTCATTAATTGGTTCATTTCAATTCACCAACTATTTTTTCTTTGTTGTGTCTAAAAGTCTAAAGTAGTGCATGAAGAAACTAAAAGTAGTGCATGAAGAAACTTGTCTTTGGGTTAAGGCACAGATTGTGTGTCACCGTAATAAGTAGTGTGGCTGCCACATTGCTGAGGTTAATGTCCTTTAAAATCAAGGGAAGGGAGCAGGAGAGCTCTCTGGTCTGACTCTGGGCTGCTGTTCTTTGGAACAATGTCTGGGCCAGGAGGAGAGGTCTGCTCACCCTGACATGGCTGGGCGACCAGCAGAGTATTCGGGCTGAGGGCCCCTAGACCTAATAGCTTCCCGTGCTGATGAGACCTGTTTTGCACCAGTTTATTGCTAGCTCTGAGACTGGAAATATCCCGGGCATGACTGGGTACATGGGAAGGTGCGAATGAACACATACATATCTGTAATTAAAGTAAACGTAAGTGCACATGTTAAATGCCTGCCTCTCAAGGCCAATGCTTCAATATAAGCAAATGAGTGAAGTCTGGGTGCAATATGCTTCCTCTCTACCAGCCAGGGGGCTGGTGAGTCCCAGTGTGTAAGCCCTTTAAGGCCATTTCAGTTTTGCTATAGACTTGTGGTTCTCGAGAACAAGAGCCCTGTTGGTTTTCAAACTTTTCAGTGTTTCGGAAGCTCGTCTGTCAGGGGAAGGTCTTAAAAATTGGGTGGTGGATGTGGGGTAAGACCCTTGCTCCTCAGGGAGAAGCTCCAGGTTTTAAGCTCCCTCTTGATCATGGGTTGCTGTGCCTGGGTTGAAGTTTATGGTGAGACTGCATCCCAACCTTTCCTTCGTGCTTAGATGTGTTTTTTTTTTTTTTTCTTATTTGCCTGATGTGTTGGAGTTGCTCAGCCAGCCTGTAGGGTTTATTGCAGAGGGAATTTTTCCTTATGTACCTGTAGATTCAGAGTGACTGTGGGTGGAGGTGAGTTTGGGAGAACTCCAGAGCTTAATCACCATGGAATACCCAACGTACTTGGTATATAACTTATTGAACAAATATTTGTTATATGAGTTAAGGAACCAGTTTCCTTATAGTTAATTATACCTAAAAATTTTACTATATGAGGTTGGTTATTTATGCCTTTACTAATAATTCTTAATGACTCCTCTTGAACACTGTATCTGTGCATTTCTAGAAGCCAAATTTAGGGGCCAATACACTGCATATTTTTGAGAGAGTTATATTGCTGAACTCTGCTGTGAAATCTTGAACCAACTTGTAATTCCTTCAGTAGCTCTAACCAAACCACTAGAAGCCAATTAACTGAAAAAATATTCTGAAAAGTAATCATCCTGAAGTTAAACTTAGAATGTGAATTACAAATACAACACTAAGCACTCATGTTAACGTATCATTACATCTTTGTCATTTTAATTGTTGCCCATTAATATTGGCCAAAAAGTTTGTTTAGTGTTTTTTTTCCGCAGGATGGCTCTAGTAGTGCTTAGCTGTCTTTAACTTCATTCTAAACAATTTTGTTAGATTGTATTGTGACAGCTGTCATAGCTGTCATAGCAGTGTGCATTTAAAAAACTTATCGAAATCAGTGCAGCCATTTTAATATTGAAGATGGAAGAAGATATACAACATTTTCAGCATATTATGTGTTATTATTTAAAGAAAGGTAAAAATGCAACTGGAACACAAAAAAAGATTTGAGCAGTGTATGGAGAAGGTGCTGTGACTGATCAAATGTATCAAAAGTGGTTTGTGAAGTTTCTTGGTACTGTTGACATTTTGGCCAAATGATTCTTTGCTGTGGGGCTGTCTTAGGCATTGGAAGATGTTTAGCAGCATCCCAACCTCTACCCACCAGAAGCCAATAGTAGGAAACAGCAACATATTCAAAATATCCAAATCAATAAAGTTATTGGTGAAAATGAAAAATGTGTCTTTTGCAGAAAAAACTAAACAGACTTTTTGACCAACCCAATATACCTACCTATTCTCAGAATACTTCATTATGTGTATTAAATTGGGGAATTGTTATTTAAATTATGGGTGGGAATATAAGAACCTTCTGACCTAAAAAAAAAAAACAACTCATAATCCCACCAAACTGAAAACAAGTAATTTCCTTCAAATGTGGAATGGATCAAGAAACTATGAGTTATTCATATAACAAATACACACAGTGAATTAGACCAAGTACAAGTAACATGCATGATAAATCTCACAAACATTACATGGAAAAAAGAAGCCAACCATGAAGGAATACATGTTACATTATTCCACTTACTAAGTTTAAAAACAGGAAGAAGCCTACTGTAGTATATTGTTTACCTTTGAAAAGGAGAAAACATTGGGAGTTGGAAAGGGAGGTTTTTGGGTGCTAGCAACATTCTATTTCTTGATTTTTGTAGTAGTTATCTATGTATTTGCTCTGAGATCACTTACTATAATGCTGATAAAGTTAAAACTAGTCTGGGTCCAGACTCACCTTTCTATCAGAGCTTAATGGTTTAAAATCCCAAATCTTCCCAACAGTTTTCTAAAAGTGGTAAGCATTTAAATTGCACATTTCTACTGAGAGGTGCCCCAAATACTGCGTTCCAACTTCACTTTGGGCATGTGACTGAATGGTGTCCTGAACCAGAAAGATCCGTGGAATGTTTCTACTTCAGTCATCCCAAATGAATGCTGCCTACCTGATTTCTTACGTCTTATTACAAAGGGGTGTATTTGGTGAAACTGATTTGAGTTAACAAATACTAAGAATAGTCCTTTAAAAAAATCTCTGGGTGCCTGATAAGAGTAAAAGATATAATCTATAATAGGAACTTCTAGAAAGTTTCCCAAATTCACAAGCTGTAGCAGCTGTCCGTATTCTGCAGAAATAGTTCTCAGTGGTCCAGAGTGCCTAGGGTGTTTTTTGTTTGTTCGTTTGCTTTGCCCAAATGGTTATTCAGATGATTGACACCAGCAGGCTCTGCATTCGAGTCATCCTGTGATCTTTAGAATGCAGAGACCTCAGTGTATCAGGTGGCAGCAAACCAAGACCGCGCAGTATGTCTGAGGGGAAACCTTGAGAAACAGCAGATCCCAGGGGCAGGAAATCACACTGTTTTGCAGAGACAGGATGGTTTATTTGCTTTATCGGTGTGCTATCATTGCAAGAAGCCTAACTGCAGGCAATTAAACTGAGGATGCCACATGGCCATCCTGAATGATTTGCAGAATCCAGAATGCCGCACAGCTCAGGACCAGTGAAACAGCAAATCATGCTCGTGCATAGAATGTTTTTACTACACAGTGCCACACAAATGAAGGAGCCAGAGAGGGGACACTCCCAGGGCTTGTCCACTTCACTCTCTGGCAGGCCCGTCCTTGCTGTGCCTTGATTTTGAGCTGCTGGAGAGGTCCACCTCACCATCTGCCCCTCCTCTCCTCCCCTCACTGTGGAAACTTACATTGAATTCTACTTTCTGGCACTAGAGCTTTTCTCTACCTTATTAGAGGCCTGATTGCTTCACCATAGTCTGTAGATGATTGAATCAGCATCCGATTTTACAAGGTGAAAACATAGTATTGCCACGTTCTGCTGAGAGAACCTAGAATATCCTGAAAATCATCATCAACCAGCTGCTTTTCCATAAATAACAGAGTTTATCTGGAGCTGGTCCAAAGAGGATTCATTAGGAGTTAGAAAGATTGGACCATTTTTCTTAAAATAATGAAGTAAAATCATATAGAAGTATATAAAGTAAAAATAAAGATTCCTCCTCCCAATCCAATGCTATTTCACCCAGGTAACAGCGATTCAATTTTCTGCTCACCAGCCGAATGGGAGCTGCAAATAGAGATTTAAAAAATACTTTTGTAACAGAATTGAGTTTTTGGGTTATGAAATTTGTACCAAAGACTAAAATTACTGGGTCAGAGTAATGACCTCCTGTAAGTGGCACCCCTCTCTAAAATACAGCACATTTCAAAGTTTCATGTTTTTATGTTTGTATGCCCGATTTATTTGGAAGCATGAATGCATTCATCTATTGTGTCTGTGGTCGAGATG